GATGGAATCGAGACTTTGACCGCCATCGAATTTTGTTGTTCGGAACAAGATATTTGACCAGGGAACAGCAAGCGGACTGCTCGGCGGCGTCGTTCGGCTTTGACGCAACGGGGAATATCCTCGCGGCGAGATGTCGGCACGGACGCGATTGGACGACGGTGCTCTTGGCAAGGGAGGCTGTCGCTGGCTCGTGGCTGGCATCGGACAGACGCGCTTTTAAGTATAGAGAAGAATGCATTCTATTATCTTCTTTCCTTATCCCTCCCGTCAAGGCTATGGCCGTCATTCCTGCCCGCGTAAGAGGCCTCTTCTTCATAGTCACAGGCGGCATTGTCTTCCTCCTCCTCCTCTTCTACAACGATGTCCACTTCATGCGAAGCAGCTTCCGCTTCTACAACATCCCCGAAGACTTTGATCGTCTAGATCATCCTCCACGTCCTCAATATCCTCCTTTCCATCCTCCTCCCGTCACTGTAGACGAGCATGACTATCCCCGACCAACACCAGATTCGTCGCCTGACTTTGAGGATGACCCTTACCCGTCGTCCGCAAATGACCTTTGGGACTCACGCGCAGAGTCTGTGAAGGAGGCCTTCCTACACGCATACAATGGCTACAAGAAATACGCCCCCTTTCCTGCCGACGAGTTGCTCCCTCTTACCAACGGAAGCATTATCAAGTGCGTGGCATTATTATGCTTGGCATCTTTGCTTGCTAACGTATGCGTCCCTCATCAGCTTCAACGGATGGGGAGTCTCCATGGTCGATGCGCTGGATACGATGCTCATCATGGGTTTGCATGATGAGTTTGACGAGGCAACACAACAGGTTGCCTCTATTAATTTCTCGATGCCAAAGGTGTGTCCTATCTTCTCCGCGTTTTTGCCGCACTAATTAGTATACAGTATATGAGTGCCCCCTTCTTTGAGACTGTAATTCGCTACGTTGGAGGTTTCTTATCTGCATACGCTCTTTCCGGAGAACCGATCATGCTTTCGAGGGCTGAAGACCTCGCATGGAGATTACTACCCGTATTTAACACGTCAAGTGGTCTACCTGTTTATGGAATAAACGTAGAAACGTGAGTAACCATCCATTTTACTACGTTTAATTCTAACTTTACGTAGCGGAGAACATGCATATGGCGGCTCGTGCCTTCTCGCAGAAATGGCTTCGTGTCAGATGGAATACAAGTATCTAGCCCACTTAACTGGCAGAGACGAATTCTTTAACGCCGTAAGTAACCCACCTTCCTTCCCTCTGGTTCTGATGTTTATCAGAACCCAGAGTGACTATATCATGGACATAATGATCAATACCCAAAACCCCATAAACGGCATGTGGCCGACAACCTTCAACACTTGGACTGGAGAGCCTGTAAATGGTATGTGTATATGCATTTTCTACCTTACCATATGGGTCTGATAAGCCTCCAGACGTCTTCACCGTCGGTGCTCTCGCGGACAGTGCTGTAAGCTCCCATTCCTATCCACGCATTCTCATCACCTAACATCCACCCACAGTACGAATATCTCCTAAAACAATACATCATGTCCAACAAGACCGAAACACGCCTCGCCGAGCTATGTACGTCACATGCCCACTCACCCACAAATCAAAAAAGTAATCCTCTCACTTACTCTAGACATGTCCTCCATAACCGGCATCCTCGCCAACCTCGTCTACATCTCCCCCACGCGCAACCTCGTCTACGTCACGGATACCTACTACGGCATGCGCCCAACCCGGAAATTCGAGCACCTAGCCTGTTTCTTCCCGGGCCTCCTCGCACTCGGCGCCTCGTCGCTCCCTCCAGAAATAATGACGCCCCAACAAAAGGAGTTGCACATGTGGGCGGCGGAGGCTATTGGGCATTCATGCTGGGTTATGTACATGGATAGGAAGAGCGGGTTGGGCCCGGAGAGCGTGACGTTTGATGCGCCGCCGGAGGAGCATTTGGCTGCGAGACCGGGACAGACGTATCAGGAGCAGCAGAAGGAGCAGGAAGAGCAAATGCAGAGGGAGAGGTGGGTTAGGAAGGTGGGACAGTGGATCACAGCGGGGAGGAAGGGCAATGGGGGTGCGCCGCCGGGGGTGAAGGATGCGGATATGCCGTGGTATGGGAAGGATATGCGGGATGAGGAGGTGGATGAGGATACGGGGAAGGTGATTGTTCGGAAGAAGAAGGATTATTTCGAGAGTCAGGATAATTATTTCTTGAGGCCTGAGGTGATTCTTTGCGCTTTTTTCGTCTCTTATTGCCTTGGGCTGACTTTTATCTCCGCTACGTAGACTCTGGAATCGATGTTCGTCCTGTGGCGCACGACTGGCGATTCTAAATGGCGCGATAGAGGATGGGAGATCTGGAGTGCGATCGAGAACAACACGAAGACGCCGAGTGGGTATGCCAG